AGCCATGCGAAAACCGAGGTTCCACTGTACTTACAAACTCTGAAAGAGAAACGTCCTGACAGATGTTGGATCAGCCAATCAACTTGCTTGATGCTCATGTCTACACTACAGGCTGTTGAGATTTTGGAGGGATGTGCGTCTGTGCCTCTGAGAAGCACATAACACCCTGCTCTGTAGAGATTTGCACAGTTTACACATATTGCTGCAGAAGCTTAATTCCAGCTTTTATGATAGCCCTACATCACAGACTCATATTATTACACATTATTTTTGGAGCCCAGTGGTGGAAGAAGTATTCAGGATCTTTGCTCAAGTAAAAGTACCAATACAATACAATAGTGTAAAAATACTTCATTACAAATAAAAGTGCTACACTCATTCTTCTTAAGTAAAAGTAAGTATTAAAGCTGTATTAACTAAGATTTAACACAAATTTGGATAAATCAAGTAAGAAATTTTCTAGAAATGTTTTCTCCCATACTGTACTACTTAAATAAGTTTAACTGGGGTGCAGCGCTCTGTGACAACACCTCAACGCGTCCAGTTGCAGAGAATCCGACAGACCACAAAGAAAATGGAGAAGAAGCTGATTTTGGTGGACCCACACCCTCTTCTTCTTTGTGCAACTCATCGCCTCCTCCTCACCAATACAACTAAAGCCAGAACTTTTTGCTGACATGTAGATAGATACATTGTGCATCCAGGTCTGCTGCTCTAACCACCTCATGGAAAGCTTTTTGGTCGCCTAGCAACTAGTTCCCAACATGTACGCAATTTGCACATGTGTGCCCTCCCCCCCTGTGCTGCACCTAACCCCGTGGTGAGTACAGAACATAACGCATCGTATCTGAAAGCCCTTTCTACTTCAGCGCAGCGCACATGGACAGCATGCACAACCTTGCTCTGTGCCAAGCTGATGAGAAGTTGTTAAAATTTACACAGTCAACACAACTAGAAAGTCAGAAGCTTGTTCAACTATCAAAGTATAACATGAAATTTATTTTGTTTCCCATAAAACTCACGGTTATGTGTGTCAAGTACGTAACGCTGAACGCGATGCAGTAGTGGCTGGAACATTAGCACTGTATCAGTATTACTGGGAAAATTCCTCAGTATAATTTGCTTGTGCAACTGCAGATACATCTGGTACAAACAACGTTAAACGTACATGCTGAAAAAATTAGAAGGCGGCATCTGGACATAGTTTTAGGCAGAAGATGCTTCACCTCTCATCCAAGAGACGTCATCAGTTCTGTCTGACTGGTGGTGAGCAGGAGGTATTTATCCCCCTGGGAGGTGTTTCAGTCCACACAGGAGACAGAAGCCTTAAGGAGGAAGTATATCAGAGACCTACACACACAGACCAATACCTTCTTTTTGACTCGCACCATCCTCTACAACACAAATTGGGGAGTAATCAGAAGCCTAAATCACAGGGCAGTGCCCACAACTGCAGAAGGGA